ACCCCCGAGTGTTCAGGAAGAAGGCATGTTCATAAAAGACATATATTTTTTAAAGCAAGATGACAACTCACCAGATGCCTGAGCTCTTTCAAATCCCGGCAGACAGTGTAGAAAACTCCAAGAAGAATGTTAATGTAGGCAGCATAGAAATCAGCTGAGTATTCTGGAGGATGATCATGGCACAGGATCTTTTGAAGATTCCCTGTTCACAGGACACAAATTAACTTATAAGGATTTGCACAGCACCCCAGTCTTGTCTTCTAATATTTTATAACAAAGGTTTAAAACAATGTACCCAGTACTAGCAATAATCAAGGAATGAGAAAACTGTGACAAGATTAGAATAGAATAGTAATACGAGTTTTGAAACTGAGGCAAAAGAACTCAATTACAAATTTAATCTATTGTAAAAAAATAAATATTGGTCAAGACTAAACAATGACATCTAAAGAAAATCTCAAGAACCTTATCACTGCCAAAATCAATATTTAAACTGATGAAAACTATATACTCACAAATCCATGAAGCTCAAAAAAATCCCAAGCAGGGTAAACATTAAGACACTTTCTTTCTCACCTTTGTGTTTATTTAAAAGACAACTGTTAAAGCCAAAATGATAATAATGTATTATGGGATTTATAATAAATGTATAAGTAAAATATAGGACAATGACAAACGTTGGGAGGCAGGGAATTAAAAGCAACTGAGATTTTCAGATTGTTTGTTATTATAGCGTTATTATACTGTAGCTGATACGATAACTGTGGTGGCACTGTGGTTAAGAGCTACGGCGTGCTATGGCTGCCAACAAAAAGGTCAGCAGTTCAAATCCACCAGCCACTCCTTGGAAACCCTACGGAGCAATTCTTACTCTGTCCTATAGGGTCGCTATGAGTCAGCATCGACTCGATGGCAATGGGTTTAGTTTGGTTTTTTTAATCCTGATACAATAACTAAATCAAGACCCTAATTAAGAGCATTATAATCTATCTGAAGAAGAAAAATAAGAACATTAACAAAAAAAGGAGTAGTCTGTATGTGGCAGAAATAAGAAAACAAGAATTCCCAATTGGGCCCCTAGCCATCACTG